GCGCCTCCGCCCGTCGGACAGCTTTGGGGAGCGAGGGGTAGGTGACCCCGCGGACGAGCTCAGAGCGGCGTGGAGGAAGTGCTGCTCTGTCATTCGTTCACTTTGAGGGATGCGCCCGGAGCTCCTGCCTCCTGCGCCGCCCTCCTCACCGTCTGGCCCCGCTTCATCCTCAGGGCTCGGAGGCGGCCAGCAAAGGGGACTTCCTCTTCAGCAGCGACCACCTGATCGAGATGGCCACCAAGCTGTACCGGACGACTCTCAGCCAGACGAGGCAGAAGCTCAACATCGAGATTTCCGATGAGTACGTGCACGCGGTACTGCATGTCCCTGCATGCTCCCGCTTCCTTGTTTTGGGGACGCGGCCCGAGCTCACTTGTTTATGCAGCCCCTACTGTGGAGGACCCAGTGCGTGTCTGTTGTTGGTTCCAGATGATGGGTGGGCAGGGAGTGACCGGTTCCTGCACCTGACATCCTAGTGGGAGGGGAAAACATGCCCAAATGAAATAACTCGGTGACATGACTTAGTTAGAGGGGAGAGCAGGTGAGGGGTCAGAGGGTGCTGGCTGTGGAGGTCAGCAGGTCTCGTGTTAGTGGCACTTGTGTTGAGGCTGGAATCGGGGGGCAAGCCAGGCAACGGTCCAGGGAGATGCCTTCAGGGGCAGCCTTCTGGGGAGGCAGCAGGTGCAAAGGCCCTGAGACGGGGGTAGACTTGGTGACCGAGTGAAATGAGAGAGAGTCAGGGCAGGCCCTGCGGAGCCTGGTAGCTGAGGTGAGGAGCTGAGATTTCACGGAGGATGGAAGCCACTAGAGCAGTGGTTCTCAACCTTGGCTGCACATTAGAATCACCTGGGAATCTTTTTAAAATCCTGATTTCTGGGCCTCATTCCCGAGGATTCCTAGGTGATTCTAATGTGCAGCCAGGGTTGAGAACCACTGCACTATAGGTTTGGAGCGAGGGTGGGGCATGGTCTGATTTGTTGGTTTCCAAGCTCGCTTTGCCTGTGGTGTGGAGAGTGACTATAGGGAGACAGGAGTGGAGGCAGAGAAATGAGCTGGGAGCTTCTCTGAGCTGTCCACGCTGAGGGTGACGGGCAAGGAGGGTGTGGCTTAGGCTAGGGTGTGAGGGAGAGCTGTGAGCAATAGGTTTTGAGTGTAGTTTGAAGGGAAACGAGGCCTTATTAACAGATTGGGCGTTAGGCTTTGGGCCTGAACCCATATGGTGATACCATTCACTGCAGCAGATGACACTGAGGAAAGGGGTTTGGGAGGGCCGGGGGGGAGGGAATAGCGTGGTGGGCTGTTGGGTGTGCTGTGTTTGAGATGCCTTTATTTTCACGTGTTGATAGCTAGTATTATAGAGTGAGTGTTCCGGGTGGACAGGGGCGTAGTGGTGCTAAGACTGCCCACACTTGAAACTTGCATTTCCCTTTACATTAGGGCCCTAATATGGAGACATTTTTTGCATGCAGGTTGGAGCCCCCCCTTCCTGCCCCCCCCCCCAATTATTAAGTCTATCAATATGAGATCGTTTGGATTGGAGCCACCATGTTTGATACTTAATTTTTTTTCCAGTAGATTGTTTACTGTTTGCTTATGTACTTTCTTCACATTTATCATAATCATTTGCATAACCAGATTGTTCAGGAAATGATTTTATTTTCTGGTTAAGATTTTGCCAGCCTGTTCTATTTCAGCTCTTTCTAAAAGTCTTTCTGTAGTGAGTTCACACCCACTCCTACCCCCGTGTAAGTCAGACACAGTCTCCTCGATGTGCTAGCACTGACAGAGCCTTAGCTCACCGTCCTCATTCTGCACTGAGAAGGGCACTTGGCCTGGGTGGGAGATTGGCCGTTATCTGTCCTCCGCCTTGGAAGTTGCAGGTTGGACTAAACAACGCTCTTGTTACTGGGTCCTTTCTCATAAACTACAGTGGGGCCTTGACTTACGAGTGTCCCGACGAACGAGTTTTTCGAGATACGAGCCGTCTCTCGGCCGATTTTTTGCTTTGAGTTGCGAGCTAAAATTCGGGTGACGAGCCAGCTTCAGATACCCCACCGCTAGTTGGTGCAGCGAACGTCACAGTGAACGCCACAACATCAGCCCAGCATCCCATGTCTCACTCGTTCACAATTGATTTGACATACGAGTAATTTGAGTTGCGAGCTCCGTCACAGAACGAATTAAACTCGTAAGTCAAGGCCCCACTGTACCAGGAAAAAAGGTAGTGGCTGGTTGGGTTCCATTCATTACAGCTTTAACCTGACAGGACCTCTTAGAGCAGCGGTCGCCAGGCTTTCGGACCTCAGGACCCCAGTGGTCCGCGGACACCGGGTGGCGGCCGCTGTGTCAGAGCCCTAAGCTCCCTTTCGTTGGCATCTGTGACGGGGATGCTGGGCTTCGTGGGTGGGACCGCTCAGCCCACTGTGGTGGCAGCGGGTCCGTTTCCCCTGCGGAGCCCCCCGTGCTGGGAGGGGGAGCCCTGTGGTTGGCGGGCTGCACCAACAGGCTGGAGTCACAGGGGGCCTTACACACCCACAGCCGGCCACACGGATTCCCGATTTTGAAACATATATTTAGGCTAGAAAGAACAATTAGCAAAATGCGTAGGTGCGACAGAAGTTGTGCAGGTAAATTGTGAACAACAAGAGTTTAGAAACCCTCGTCTCTAGGCCCTCCACACCCTCTCTTTCCCTGAAATTCTTTATTTTGTTTTCTCAGTTTGTTGATAGCTGAGTAGGACCCCTCCCCCAGCTTACATGTTTGCTGTGCAGAAAGGGAGAGGCATGGGAAATAGCACGTCGGTCTTTCCGTTTGAGACCTGGGACCCGTGTCTTGACGCTGCTCCCCTTGGAGGGATGCCCTCAGGGCTGCGCGCCGGCTGCGGAGCCACACGCAGCGAGTGTGACACCGGCTGATGGGACCCATGGACACGGTGCTGATGGGGGGAGGGGGGGGAGCTTGTCCAGATCAGGATCCATTCGAAAGCTAGAGCCGTGGGGTCGCCGGGGTCGCGTGTGAGCGTTCATCTGCCTTGTCCTTCCCCAGGTTCCTGGTGCAGTTCCGACAGGACAAGGTGTGCGTGAAGTTCATTCAGGGCAACCAGAAAAACGGGAGCGTCCCCACGTGCAAGCGGAAAAACAACCGGCTCCTGGAAGTGGCGGTTCCTTAGCGGGCGCC